CCGGCGCTCTGATAGAGGCGAAAGACGTGGCAAAGATCTGGAGCCGCCATTCCCAGTGATTTGTGGACGTTTAACCGTCATCACCAGGACCGGGCAGCAGCCGAGGAGGGGCGGCCGGCGCGGAGGCTGCGGAGCCCGGCAGAGCCCCTCCGCCCCGCCGCCCTGGCGATACGGACCCTCGGCCAACTGTGGGATTTGTGGTCATGTATGACGCGGCGCAGGAAGCGCTAATAAATCACATTAATCCAGTCCCGGGGGATGGCACGGGATGGCCACCCTCGCTGCCCGGCCTCTGGCTGCCTCCCTCCCCGCCTGCGCTGCGCACCCCACGCCCGCCCCAGCCACCAGCCCCGGTGACAATGACGTTACCAGCCATCCAAACTGGCTGGGCTGGCGAGGGGCCGTCCGCAAATGCCGCCCATATGGACCCCGCCCCGTTACATCCTAATACCCGTCTGGGACGTTATGAGAAACTCGTCCTGTCTCCCTCTCGCGGTGCAGCCACGGCATGTGACCCGCTCGCGTGACGTCACCCTCCCCCGCCACCGCTCGTGCGCCTGTCAGGCCATGGCGGCGCGGCCCCCACGTATCAACGTTTTCAAGGCTGGAGGGAAAGATACGGGTCTGGAAATACACACACACACACACACACACACACACACACACACACACACACACACACACACTGATCACACACTCACACTACCACAGCCGACGGCGCATCCCTGCTTCCATACTTATGCCCGAATGTCAAATAAATAAATGATGACATGATTTCGATCACACCACCATGCACATTTCCTTAGATTTTATTTTACTTTTTTCCATTTCGTCTACTCCCGAGATTCCTTTGCATTGCTTCGCTGCCAGTATGGCTCCCCGCGTATGGCCTTGGTCCGCAGTCAATAGCGTCATTGGGCCATTCAAGCGCCGGGCCGCGCGGGTCGCCCCCCCCCTCCTTTCCTCCCTCCCCCGCCCGCCATCTTCCCCGCTGGGCGGTGAGCGGCGACGACTCCGAGACGCTACACCAAACAGGCGAGGCGCAACGCAGTACACTATTCAATTCGTCCGGATAGACTCACAAAGCATTCAAAGACAAGACGAGCGATATCAGAGCCGATAGAAAAAGAAAACGGATAGTTTCTGAAAAATAAAAACCAAGAGTTGACTCTCTAACAGCAACGCGCTCGCCCGTCCGTCCGTCCGCAGCGGCCAAACGGAGGAGAGTATAATAAAAACAGTAAAAAGAACAGGATACTCACGAGTGAATCGACTTCGGGATCGGCGATGTAATAAGGCTTCTCTTGCCGAATCTGAAACAAAAAATAAAAATTTTGAGACACAATGATCGCAGTCAGAATCTTAAGGCACTATCTTTGGCTCTGACCATCCATCATTTAAGTTCTCTTCCCAACCTCTTGGCCTCTTACCTCCGGCGAGAAGCTCATCTCGCAGCAAACACACAGAGTCTGCTCCCGGCTCGACCTGGCACTGACAGCCCCGAGGCGTGAACCTCCTTGCTGTCGTGCGCGCTAAAAGTTATGCCCGCTTTTTATGCCAACCCGTTCGCTACCGCGCGCCACGCCGCCGCGCTGCACGCTCTCCCGAGCAAATCTACTGGGAAAATGATAACTGACGTCTTTCAAATCGACGGCTCAATCACCAGCCGCCTGCTTGGCTGTGCCTTGCTCTCTGTCCCTGGTCTGGTCATGGGAGAGGAACGGGCATTGGGCCCCATCAATCAAAGGCATCGGCGAATAAATTGTGACGTAACCTGCGGCAAAACCTGATCCATTCACTCAGCACGTGAAACCTAGGACACTGTGAATGACAGTGCAAGAAATATGAAGATCTAAATGAAAATCTTTACCATTAAACACTATTAATCCGATTAAAACATATGTTGCGCACTTGTGTGTGCAACTTATGATTTAGTGGTGTTTAACTGAATTGCTAATATAACGAAACTGGACCGCCAAATATCTGTTATCCCACCAATTGACAGAGTTAGTTTCATCGATAGTCAAGTCGATACTATGGTTTAAACTATGAGAACTTAAAACTGCATCTCATTTGCGGGGAACTCCCCTTTCTTTGTGTATTGGTGAACGTATCACATCATATAATGAACATCTATTTTCTTTACAAGAGAGGAAATAATTTGCTCGTCGCGAAGCTAAGAAAGAGCGCACGCTCAACAGTAGTAATTTGCTGCAAGTTGTCGGCGACCCGTTTAACGACCTACTCGAAAAGAAGAAAAGAGGACGAAAACAATCAGAACTAACGCCTAGCACAAAATTCGAGCGGCAATTATTACAAAACAGCCGACAAACGGGGAGGCGGGCCGGGCCGGGCGAAAGGCGCACTCAATCAATACTCTATCAACACCGGCGGCTCGGCTCACATGAGATGTGTGTCGTCGCCACCTTCCCTTTCGGGAAAAAATATATGGACGGAAAATAAAGCAAACCATCACAACTTAATGAAAGCGGCCCGCCACATGTTTCACCGCGATACATACATAATTACAAAGATAACGAACTTTTATCATAAGCGCGGGGCGTGGCCGGCCGCCGCTACCGCGCTACACCGCCCGCCGCCGCGCCGCGCCACCACGTGAAACCCGATCGGCTCCGGCGGAGCATGAGAAATCTATTACGCGCACAACAGCTCAGCGTCTGCCGCGCCGCAGTACAAACACGACTTTAAAAGTTTCAGACTCCACCACGGGAAGGGTGCGGGGGGCGGCGGTGGGCAAGACCGCGAACAAAATCAAGGCACCTTGGTGGTGCTGCTGGTACCCGCCGGTACCTGTGCCAGCCGCACTGTCGTCACCCGGGCTTCTTATCTCGGGGTCGCTACCTCCTGCTGCCTCCCCAATTGCGCCGGGGCCAGTTCCCTGACTAATTGGGCCTCGTTTGTTTCCTTTCTAAAGCGGATAGCCCAGTCCCTCGCGGTCCCTCGCTTCGCCCCCGCGCTGCGCCCCGCCGTAGTCTGCTCGACCCTGGTTCACCCGAAATCCGAGGATAGAGAGAACCATTCGCAGAGAGACACAATTTCCCACCGGCTCCCACCGCCCCCTTTCCGTCTTTTCCCATAATCTTTCTAGACCATTTTCGGGGGAAAATTGGGGGTTCTGGGGGGTGGGGGGGACAACTTGATTCGGCTGTGCGATGCGCCCGCCCCTCCCGCCGGCCATGACAAACACGTCCGCCTGACGTGTAATTGGCTGACGTGAGTCACGATACGACATAGACTCGCGCCACGCCGCCTCTGCCGTGCGCTGTGCATTTCACAGGCGCGTCGCGACATTTTCGTGCACGTACACGTACGCGCGTACGAACGCACGCACGGACGGACAGCGCCCGCCCGGCCTCCACGCGATACCCTTTCCGGACAATCAGCCAGCCTGCGCCGTGATTCAAATAACCCCTCCCTCGCGCCGGAACCACCCTCCTCGCATGACGCCGGCCCGGGCCACAGTGGGCTGCAACGAGAAAAAGTTCGCCATAACCCTTGATCAGCGCTCTACTTGCACTTATTAAGTTCAAAATTGAATTCTGAATCGATTTCTGGAGAAATTTTAACGCGAAACAACGCGAAACGCTCGAAAAAAGCAACAGAAGATCAAGCAAAATGACCGTAAAACGGACTTTCTGGTTCTTTTCTGACAGTTTCGTGCGGCAAGAACTTCAGTTTTGAGGCTAATTAGGTCCACTGAGCAGTTACTGCAAAAGGAAACTCGTTTATACTCGCTTTTTAACAAGTTGACTTTTTCCAAGTATTTCTCCGTAGCACCATAACCTCAAAATGAAATATATTTTAGCGTTTTAAAAATAATTCGCGATGTTTCTGTAAAAACTATGACAATGTACCGGGTTTTAACTATAAACCCTACAAGAAGAGTCCATACTGAGCTTTGACAATGGCGTAATTTAGTGGAAATGAGTTTTGGCAATTTTTAACCCGTTTCGGCCCACTGTGCGGGCCCCGCCAGCAGGCGCACAACATGGCGGCCGTATCACCGCGAGATATCGAAACGTCACCCCGAACATGCATCGGGCCGGAAATGCAAGTCA